TTTTAAAAAAATATTTTTAATATTAATATATTTAAAATATCAAAAAATATTTTAAAAAAAGTTTAAAAAAACACAGCCATTAATTGTATGATTGTAATAATATTATTCAGCTTTTAATAATAATATCGCTGCGGTTGTTCTGTTATAGCATTTGTTAACACTCCATTAATTCAGGCTGGGAGTGTCTATTTAGGACAGAGACCAGACAGAAAACCTCGAGGAGTTCTGTAATCAAGAGAGCCCCCAATCTATCAGTGGTTTCCAAGTAAGTGAAGCTGCACTTCACCATAGAATCTCCGTGATTTTGCTTGGTTTGTCCCTTGTTTTTCTTGAATATCTTATAATGCATTCGCCCACTCGTGCGGTCTTAGTCAAACAATATACACCATCTTCACTCTATCTTTGCTTATTTTTGGGAAATGATAGAATTTGAGCTTGCATCTGCAGGGGTATTTCAGTTCTTGGCTGGAAGGAATTAAATTACACAAGGTACGGATGCAACCAGGCTTGGATGAGATCACAATGACGGGGTGGAAGAACCTGAAGCAACGGCTGTCATTCAAGGGCCTGGGTAGTTGCTGTGGGAGCGCAAGCTGGAGTTCCAGAAGTATCACCCAAACCATGCCCTTTATCGATATAGAGCAAGAAGAAGAGGAAGAGCCCATCATGCAAAACCAAGCTCAAAGAGGAGGAGCAGCAGCAGCAGCGCCAGGTGCTGGGATGAATCTGGCAATGGCATTAGCTGCTGAGCGCAATTTAGGGGATTCAAATGTCAAGACATTGATGAGTTTGATCGAAGAAACGGACGGTGTTGATTGGGGGAAGAAGAATAACAGTAATGATAAAAGTAGGAGGGACAAGGAACAGGAACAGAAGCAGGATGAAGAGAAGGATTGGGTATGCTGCGTTTGCATGGAGAGAAATAAAGGCGCAGCTTTTATTCCATGTGGACACACCTTTTGTAGGGTTTGTTCAAGGGAAATGTGGGTTAATCGAGGGTGCTGTCCTATCTGCAACCGTTCCATTCTCGACATCCTTGATATCTTCTAGTAATCAGCAGAGGCTGAGAAGATTCTTTCAATGTCTTGTCTTCGAGTTCAAACCCAGGTCTGAGCTCCATCATTTACTGCATTTATTTAAGGACGTGTTCTCAGCTTTAAGTTTGATACATGATTCCGGATAACGTACGAAAAACATGTTTCTTGCCTGGCACAGGTTCAGAATATATATTTAGCAGATTGTTTCTTTCCAATCTTCCATATCTCTTTTCTTTTCCCTTATAACGAAATCAAGAACGAAGAAGATTCATAAAAGCAAGCACAAGCATGTTTAATCCTTTTCTCTTAATGAAAACAAAATGTTGGAGTGTTAGTCGAAACCTGTATTAATTAATTTAGCTACTACAAGCAGGCATGCCGAATTATTTAAGAGATGAGCCGGCAGAGTTTGATATTTACTGGCCTTTGGTGAGCAATCTAGTCAATTGCCGAGTGTCAAGTGCCTAATACATGATGCATGCAGCAGCACATTAATTTATAATTGAGCCGCTGCGGTTCTGTTTGTAGCGTGCTCTCTTACAGGCCATCCTCCATGTTAAAGTGCTCTGCTTTTCATCGTTTCTCGTTAAGGAGGGAGACAGAGCAGCGTTTCGTTTGTTTCTTTTTTATTTCTTAAAATTTGTTGCTTTCCTTTTGGTTTAGACAAATGGCTGATTTTTTCATGATTTAAAACCAGGGAGACTCCAATCTGAGCCCTCGAATTTTCAAACTTTAAAAACTCAAGATTGGTTGGATTGAATTTAATAAAGCTCCTTTAAACGAGAGATTGGGACTCAAATCTATTTAATAAGCTTTCTGTATTTGAGATTTAGGTCCGTCTTGATTTGGGACAAACATCTAAGAAAAATAATAAAGAAGTAAGGAAAAAAAGAATTAGAAAAAGAAACTGAAAAAAGAAAAATCACATGTTAGAAAAGCTTGTAACTCTTCAGATTTTAATTAAATCATTTCGTCAAATCATCGTCAACTCTCTAACATTTATAAAAATATTTTATTTTCACTAAAATTCTAATTAAAAATAATTCATTAAACAAAATATTCAATAATCACTTAATCCAGCCTAACAAATAAACATATATAAAATTTAATAAAGCCCACTAAATGAAATATTTAACAATAACTAAATTAAACTTAACAAATAATACCAAATAAAAAAGGAATTGGGCCATCATCTTTTATAGTATATCTCAAGTCTAATATTTCCATCAACTTTTTTGGAGTTGGAAGAACTCGGTCTTATTAAGCATATCTCAAAGCAACTTCATTAACGTTATCGAAAATAAGGATTAAGTTATCGTGATATCATTTTAATAATCTAAATACAATTTAAATCTGGTAGTCTAGTTTATATACTAGGATTTATTGAACTTTATCATTTCTAGTAAAAACAATTTGTGCATCCAAAATAGCATTGTCACATTTCTTTTGTGCCAATGATATGGATACTAGGGTGGGGGTATCAAAAGAAGCATAGGAATATGTTGTATTCTATATATAATGAATTTCTTTATATTAAAAGTATAATTAACATCAAAGTTTGGTGGCAGTTCAATGACATAATTATTAACCTTTGAGTCATACATTAGTATTTATATATTTTAATGACAACAACACACACACACACACACGAATCTTTCCCTATATTTTGCAATATATTCCCTTTGAGACTTTAACAGTTAACAATAATCTATACAGTTTGTCCCCTTAATCATACAATCATAAATTCTCTAATTCTCTTCTCATTTATCATCAATGAAAAGTAATAGGGAAAGAAGTATAAACCATAAACAATAGAGAAATAAAATATAAAAAACATGATATAATGTTTAAAATGCAATATCTATTACAACCAGGAAAAGCAAATACAAAAACATTTAAAAAATCTTGAAAATATAAAAATATTTTTGATACAATTGCCTATAGTAGTGGATATCAAGACATTAGATTTGTTATCATGGTTTTGATATCTTGTAAGTCACCAGCTATATGTTTTTGATTAGCTATGATGTGCACGTAAATTTCTTGAAGATAACTCGCATTCATCTCAATATGCGTTATGCAATCTTCCATTCTAGATTTTCATGAATTAGTACCAGCATCTTTAGATGAGAAAGCTGAAGGTGACATCTCAAACATATTAGCAAACTCATTATCGCTTCCAATATTCTGTTCTTTTCTCTCATTATTCTCTTTTTCAAAATGAACACCAATCCGGTCTTTAGAACCTGAGCATTGTCATTAATTAGTACATATCCCATCTTGTTAAGGGTTTTTAAAGTCTATTTCCATTACATTTGAGTATGGGTTCCTGTTTGTATTAGTGAACAAAACCTCAAAATACTTAAACATTTTAGTAGGACACTAACTATTGGGCAAAGACTTTTGTTTTTGTTTTTTATCATGTGTCATGATCAAGTTTTTCCTCATGATAGAGGGTAAGTTAATTTGACAACCTTTAAATATACATTCAATCAAATACATAACCATAAAGGTTACTTCATTATAATGCTTTATTTGAAAATATATTATGTGTAAAGATTCGATAAATAAGCCTAAAGGAAGTCTTGACTCTTAATTTTAACACTTGGTGCAAAGTCTAATCAACCAATATGTTGTGCCACAACTTTATTGTACGTAAAATTACCTATTGTGAGTATAATTTTAGCCTCAATTACTTTAGGTCTTTCATTGCTTATACATAAAATATTACATAGAGTCTCACAGTCAAATTCAATATGCTTATTTTACAAATGACTAACTATCCTAAGCTTTATATTGATACACATGCTTGCAAATAACATTATAACAAACTTAGAATATGTGGGTTTCTTCAAATGGAACAAATTATGTCAACCTATATAATCAAATATTATATCTATCCCATAATTACTTAACATACTTCTTAAACCTTTTTCAACCGTACTAGACCGATTTTTAAATAAATTCATAAACTTCTCTACATTATCACTTTAAGGAAAACTAAGATCATTTACTTGTTTTCTCCTTAATTCCACATCTTTATTATGTTTTTTTAGGTGTTATCTAGCTTGAGTCTCTAAAAAAATAACTCTAATTGAACTTAGCTTGGTGGAGTTTAAGTGATTTGACAGTGAGATTTTAGTTTAAGATTAGGGTTCTTTAATTTAAGGTTTTTAACCTTGCTAGAAAATGACAGAAATATTTGTATTGTTAAGCAATCGGTTGACCAGTTGCATTAAATTAGTTAAATCAATTGACCAATATGACCTCAAACGTGAAATTTTTTAATTTTCTCTTTTGATCCTTCTCATATAGTTTTTTAAAAAAGTCTTTTTCATGTAAAAATTAAGTCCAAAAATCAAATAGATGGAGGGGAAAAATATGAAATTTTACGTAGTAGTCAAGCTATTTGTGCTATGTTTTAACCGATCGGCTAGTTGATCCAGTTGTATGAATTGATTGATCAGTTTACATAGAACTTAGATTGTTTTTATATTTTCTCTTTTAGATATGTTTTATGAGTTCAAATATATATATATATTTGTTCAACTTATAGACTAAAAAATTGAATCTAACTAAAACTTTAAAATGTTATTGTTCACAAAACAATAAATACTATATTTCTTTATTTCAATCGGTCAGCCGGCTGAATTGGTATAATAAATTGGTCGATCAATTTATCCTAAAGTTACATTGACAAATTTTTTGTAACAAATCATATTTTTCATGCTAAGAAATATATATTTTATCACTCAAATATGTCAAACTTATTTCCAACAATATACACACACAAAGATAAAACTTCCAATAGCATTAGCATGAATAAAGCTTAAATTCCTTTTTAGTTCTCATGAACAAACTTTTAAATATGAGGTGTTGAGTTTCTTACTTCTCTAAAGCTGATAAGGAGTCTTTTTCAACTCTAGTTCCAAGGTAATATAATTTAAAATATAGCAAAATATATTTACAGCTTCAGCTCAAAAGCATAAACTCTTTATGAAATTGAGTTTGTAAACATAGAATATCAACTAATAGATATTTTTACAAAACTTTCATATAACGACCCCAAATTTTAAATAATTTTCATTTGAAATTCAAAATCATATATATATATATATATATATATTGTCAAAAAATTTAGTAGAGTCTCCCCTGTAAATAGTCTATCCTAAGTTGTCGATAATTTCAACATAATACTAATTAATTTTTTATCATCAGTCCAACTTAATCATCTTATGGTAAATATTGTTACACATTCTCACTTTTAACAATTTAAGAAAAATACATTCTAACTAATTAAAAAGAAAGAATTATATTAATTTCATCTAACAATTAAATTCATACATCTTAAAATCCTAATTCATAATTTATTTGAATATCCATACCAATATTAAAATACAAAGAGCATTTTCTAATTACTTACATTCATTACTATACACAAAAATAAATACATGTCAAATTAAAAGTTAGCAAAACTAGTTTATTTAAGATTCATTCATATACATCAAATTAGTCATCCAAATACACAAAAGATAAATTTATATAATCATGTTTTGAAGAACTACATGTGCCAAAAAATACATTCTAAAGCTATTATGGTACATGATATTGTGATGGAACTGCATAATTACTTATAAAACAAACATAATTAATTTTAAATAATTTAATTAACATTTTACATGAGTGCAAATATTTTAACCACACATTTTATATCGAGACTAGGAATTTAATCATATTTATAGCCCATTCCTAGGACACTAGTTCCAAATCAGGGTAACTTGCTAACTATTCACCCATTTATAGGATATTAGCTCTAAACCAAGATAACCGACCAACTATTTACCCATTTATAGAGCACCAGCTCTAAACCAAGAAAACTAGCCAACCATTCACTCATTCATAGGGAACTAGCCCTAAATCAGGGTAATTGATCAATCATTCATCATATAAATAATTTAGTATAAGGAAATAGAAAACATGACACTAAAAAGTTACATTTAGCAAGGATATAATTAAATTTCACAACTAAAGATTCAAGGTACTAAACACTTATCTCATGCTTACATCCTGCTAACTAAACATATCTGTTGAGTGCTTCTTATCGCCTTGCCCACTCCTACATGTTCATTACATCATCAATTAAATCACTACATCATCAATTAATTAATTTACTTTTTTTTTTAAATCAAAACAATGCCATATCATCCAATAATAAGAAAATTCAATCATTAAATTCTACATTTAAACACTCGGCTTAAATACCACCTCGTGAAAAAAGTATAGAATTTTTTTTTCTATATCATTATCCAATCTCTATTTATTTCACATATCTCAATTTCACATAACACCGATAATTTGAATTAATCCCTCTAAGAATGTTTATATTTTTCATTCAACTACTATAATTTAACTTCTTTTAAATTCTTAAACACCCTTATAACTCACAACTTAACAAAATTAACATAAGTTATTATTCAATTTTTATCTTCCCAATGTTTTTTTTTTAAAAAAAACCCCACAAGAAAAGAGGATTAATTTTTTTCTC